AGAGCTGGGTGGGGGGGAAAGGCAAACGGGGTCCCCCGCCCCCCCCTGTTTCTCTCCGTTTTTTTTTTTTTTTTTTGTGGCTGGTTAATGTTGCTGTAATGTTACAGTGTGTGAAGAAGTAGAATTTTTACAACTACAGGGTTCCTCTGAAGTCTAGGAAAGTGCATATAAATATTAACGTAATTCCAGAGGTCAGTCCATTTGTCTTTTAACCTATTTTGCAGTTTAAAAATTGTCTAAGAGATCTATTAAACTGTAATTTTTGGTCTGGAAAAGTCTGACATTTTGACATGAAAAATGCGTAGGAACTCTTTCAGTCGCATCGTTTTATTGTTCAAGCTGAAGAGATTTGTTGTGATATTCTCAACCATATATAGTAAATATATATTTACATTCTAGTGACATAGAGCTTTTTCCACCTGTTACATATGAAAATGCAAAAAAAAAAGCACTGATACATATTTGCATATTGCCATAAATTTAACCCATGATCTGCTCCTCCCGTTCTTTTTTTTTTTTTTTCTTCTTTTTTAGGTGTTCAACACCTACTCCAACGAGGACTACGACCGACGTAACGAGGAAGTGGATCCCGTGGCCTCCTCGGCGGAGTACGAGCTGGAGAAGAGGGTGGAGAAACTGGAACTCTTCCCTGTGGAACTGGAGAAAGGTGGGAAAGAACGTCTTAAATGAGGAAACCGGTCTGTCAGTTACTCATTACACCTGAGAGACAGAGAAGCACACACACACACACACACACACAATCATCGGGATGCTTTCTATTATTAACAATATTCACGTTGTTAACGTAGCGTACTAGAAATATTCCTAGTTTGTCCAAGAAAAGCACGGAGATTCCCCTGCATGCACGCATTTGTGAAGAATGCGTCATCGGCTCCCCACCCTTCCACCCCCCGGGTTTCTTTTTCCACTTGTCTTGTTCTGCTGATGCATTTCCCCCATGATGCAGATCATAATTGCCCAGAAACTGAGAACGCTGTAGGATTCCTCCATCGTCTAACTGTTATGCAACCCGAACAGCTTGTAAATAATTAACTAAAGATGGGGGCTGGAAGAAGTTCTCATCCAGCCAATTCCTTATTTCCCGTGAAGCCGTTTGAACGTAAATGTCTCTTTCTGCTCCTAACCAATGAATTACTGATGTTTAAATGCCTTCGTTGAACAATATTTCCACATATCCTCCTAAAGTTTTTTTTTTTGTTTTTTTTTTTTTTTGATTATTTCCAAGCTGATTCTATTGATGTAAAAAAAAACAAAAAAAAAAAACTTTGTTTTTTGCTGAATTCCACCTGAACGCATATCGAAATGAACACGTGTGTCCAGATGAAGACGGCCTCGGGATCAGTATCATCGGGATGGGCGTCGGCGCCGATGCAGGCTTGGAGAAACTGGGCATCTTCGTGAAGACCGTCATCGAGGGTGGAGCTGCCGAGAGAGACAGCAGGTGAGAGCTGTGCTCATGTTGCTAACTTTAGTGCTTTGCAGAAGTATTCACAATAATGTTCAGATTTTGTCCGTACTGCAAACGCAAATTTCAATATGTTTATTGGGACTCTCTGTGATAGACGAGCACAGAGTGGCAAATGGGTACAATTCTAGCTGCCGCATGTTTCTACCAGTAGACTTTTTGCATAACATCACAGTTTATACCGCAGTTTTACGTCTTGCAGATATTCTCATTTGGATAAAAGTCTGTACTTTGACTGGGCCAGTCTAAATGACATATATATGATCTAAGTCATTCCATTGTAGCTCTGGCTTTACATTTAGTGTTGGTGTCCTCCACCTCAGTTTTACAGGTTTATTCTGATTTCCCATCATTTAGCTCCATCTAGCTTTCTGCTTCCTACTAAAATAACACATCTCAATAGCATGATGCTGCCACCGCCGTGTTTTGTTGTGCTGAACAGCGATGTTTTTCTTTTTTTTTTTTTTTGGTACATCTAGAGTTTTGCATGTTTTCTGAGATGTTCAGTCGCAGTCTTATCTGAAACTTCAAGCTAGACTTCTTGTTGCTTTTTATTTAACAATCACATTTTTTCTACTGCTTCTGTGATTTTACTCATGGATGTCGAAGTAAAGGGGGTCGGAAAAGAAAAAATTTTAAAAACGAAGCGTCTTTTTCCTCCTTCACATAAATTCCAGATAACATGTGCAAAACATTGCGGTTGCAACCCGACAAATCGTGACAAATATCAAGCAAAGACTCTACTGAAGGTCCAATTGTTGGAGGAAAAAAAAAAAATCTCCAAGCTGTGGAAGAGAGTTTTTTTTTTTTTTGTTACTGTTTCTGCCAGCCCACCTCCACACTCGGTCTCTCTCTCCATGTGCGCTCGGTCGCGCTCTGTCCTTGTCAGATTTATCAGCAGGGGTTCGGATTAGATCTGCTGAGACGCAAGGTTCTTATACGGGGATGTGCTGTAGGTATATCATTCGACAGAGATATCGCATTAGGGCGTAGAGTTCCTCTTTATAATTTTTACCCACAATCCCCGTTCTTCCATCTTCACAGTGCGTTTCTGTTTCTGTCTCCGGATGGTGCATCTGAGCGTGAACAGTGGAGAGCAAGCACTGAGCCAGGAATACAGGATATGACAGCCTCTCAGCAGGGAGGCTGTGATTTCTGCCTACAAACCGCAAGCTTCCACCCATCGGTGCGTTGATGTGGTTCCTGTTCCCTCTAAACTGTTTAAAACACTGATAGGCCGGACCGCTTGCTGCTGCATGAGAGCGCGGAGCGCTCCGAAGTCTGGATTCTGACGCTCTAAAGGTGTTAGTGGTGGGCGTGTTTTGTTCTGGGATTGATGTAACCCTCTAAAGCAGGAGCCTCGGTTGCAGCTTTCCAGAACACGACAGTGAGATTAGCTGAAAAGTGCAGCGAGCGGAGAGAGAAGCCAAGCAGAGGAGCAGAGGAGAAGCTGCTTTTACGTTGGGGTAAATTTGATTTACCCCAATGTGACAGTTCAGGCTACTCGGGGAAAGGAGAAAAGTTGAAAGAACAAGTGGAAATGACAACGGGAAGGCTGTGTTCGTGCACGAACGCATTTTTCTATCCTTGTAGATCATCGGAGCCTCCTTCTGACTTGACTGTGAAATCAATTGTTCTCCGCTGTTTATTGAATTGAGATAACGTTGCGTTAATGTTCACTGAAAATATTTGGAACCGTTGGGAGTTTTTCTGTTTGATTACTCCTGTTTTGTGTTTTTTCCCCACTGTGACTTATGTGAAATACTGCATTCTCAAATTGCACGTTCTTTGGTTAACAAACAGTTCTGCTGACTCTCTCTCATAGCCTGTATTTGGTGATTAGCCCATAGATTTACCTCAACGGATGGGCGGAGGTGGCTCTTGCAAACTCCTTGAACAAAAAACATCTCGACCAACATTTTCAATTCCCAACAAGGCTGTGGTTTTTTGGTGAGATGCCAAGCTTCAAATCAAAAATGTCAAGGCCAAACTTTGACACTTATTGCAAGCAGGGGTGATTTTCTGTCACCCAGTCATTGGGCTGTGTTGTGTGTGACGCCACTAGCTCTCCTAATCATACCCTACCACTGCCTTAAGTATGGACAACTGAAGGGGGCCCAGGATTGGTGCGATAAGGGCCACTTTTGTAGTGGAAACAGACAAAATTGCACCGACCTGTGCCGTGCCGCTCAGGAAACGAGGTGTAATATCACTCGAGACCTGTTCAGTTTCTCAGAAGTATGAAGAAAGGGATTTTACGGACTGGTTCTGAGTCCCACTGCCTCCTTAAATCTACCAGGGGAAAGTGAAAAATGGAGGATGAATTCAACAACGAGCATGTGTCACCTTTCAGAACCAGAACCGTCACAATCGAACTGAAATAGGAGCGCCGTGCTTTGATCTAACGGGTTCATCCTTGGGACGACATCTGCATAAAATGAAAAAAGTTATTTTGATTAGTGGTGCAGCCTGGCATGGTGATTTCGAAGGAGACTGGGGGGGAAAAAAAACTAAGTTGTGTTTTGTGCACTGCATTAGAATAAATACATGTTTAAATCACAGTAAGATTCAGAGCGTATTGGTGGCTTGGCCTCATTAGGTGGAGGGGACTGACGTCGCAATTTATCTGGTAATTAGCATTGTCCCTCCACTCAGAATACTTATTTATTATGCCTTTTTTGATTAAAATTCATTATTTCAAAATACTAGAAAGTGTCATAGTCGTGCATGTACATCGTTTTAGCATGAGCATCAAAGAGGTTCTCCAAAATATCTATCAACGTGCAATCTTGCTTTTATTACAATTAAGTGACTTTTTTTTCTGTCACTTTGTTTACAGTCTTGCGTTATTGTTTTTTTCTTCGTTTGTTTTTTTTTTTTTTTACTGCTGTATTTATTTGACAGTTCAATGCAACGCAGTCTCAGCTGCACAAAGTCACAGAGATATTTCTTTAGAGCAGGGAATAAAAAAAAAAAAAAAAAAAGGAATAAAAGTGTCTGAGCCTCGCACAGACAAGTCCGCCTGCAGAGCCGCTGGGTTTCTTTACCTCCATGTGACACAGCTCAGCTGGACGCTGTAGCTGTCACAGCCATACTAAATCCCTGCCGTTAGCTGCCGTGTTCTCGGTGGACTTATGTGGCAGACTTGGAGAGAAACTGAAAACCCAGTGGGCACAGCAGTGGACGTATGCCAAAGAAAATATTTCCTTGTGTTTATATTATTATTATTATTATTATTATTATTATTGTTATTATTGTTGTTGAATGAACTTGCAGTAAAATGTTCAAAGAGTTTGCTGTGTTTTAGTTTGAAAGGACTTCTCAGCGTTACTCTAAAATGAATATTTCATGACTTTATGATGATGTCAGTGCCTTCCCTCAGCATTGGCGCAATTGGTTAAAGTACACATTATTATAGTGTTGCATAATATAATGTTTGGCTCCATTTCTGTTGGTCGATTTAAAAAAAAAGAAGAAAATCAAATGAAGAAGCCCTTAGTAACTGTTTAACAAAACACACTTGGATTGATATGATAATGAGAACCCATTCAGTAAGAGTTTCTTTGTTGCATAAGAAAAAAAAAATGTTCTGCACCTTTAAGGCACTCAGGATTTATAATAATAGTTTTTAAAACAATTCCAAAAATACTTTCAAGTAAACTGAATAGTTATCAAGAATGTGCAATGAAAGGTCTTTCCTTGCAACTTCCCTGGCACTAAATTCTTTTTTTTTTATTATTATTATCCGTAGTTCAGTTTCAGGTCAAGAAATTTTGTAAGCTTTAATTTTTATTTTTATTTTTTTAATGTACCATGTAGCCCAAGGCGAAAGACTGCCTGACCTCTGCATCCTTGTTAGCCTCCGTAGCTTTTTTTTTCTTTTTAGCCTCATCTTTTGATTTTTGCAGGAATCAGAAGTTCCCTCTGTGAACGTTCTCTGAAGCAGCCGTGTTGCACTTCATAAAAATGATTTGAACGTGTATGACGTGGGTCAGTGAACATGAAATTAATGAGAAAAAAACTGGGTAAAACTTCTCAGGCTCATTTCGTCACAGCCCGGCGTTGCCTGATGCCTCTGCTTGTGCCCATCAGGATCAAGGTGAATGACCAGATTGTGGAAGTGGACGGGACCAGTCTGGTGGGTGTGACCCAAAGCTTTGCTGCTTCAGTCCTGAGGAACACGTCAGGAGTCGTTCGGTAGGAAAAACTCACATCCAAATAAATTTGGTTCTTGTGAAGTCTATATATATGGGAAATAAATACAACATATAAACAACAACAAAAAATCAATTTATCTAATGCCTGAATGCCCCTAAAACAAGTAGGAGATGATACTCTTCTTATAAACATTAACAGGGAGCCCAAATTTAAATTTGTTGTGCATTTTCTCTTTTCCAAACTGTCAAAATTATACTCACTCGCATGATTACTGATTTTTGGTGAAACGTCACGTAGCAAGTTAAAGAGAGAATACACACTTTTCATAATGAGAGCAATATCCTAGAATATTTCTGGTTGAGCATCTGGCCAGTCTCACTGCTGAAACTTCATAAACCGATTGGTTTCCTGGCAGCTTTGGAGCATATTTCAGAAATTGTTTGAGGTCAACTTTGATCCAAAATCTTATGGTGTGCCTCATTGCTCAATAGGTACATGCCTTAAAGCCTGAATCAGCCATAGCAACACGTGTTTTTCAGAAGCATAGATAAACCCTGCAAAATAAATCACTATCTATCAAAAAAAAAAAAAATGTGAACAGAAACTTAAAAAAGCAAAATCTTTTATAATTTTTTTTTATTTTGCAAGCAAAATTCAATGAAGAGCCTAAGGGGAAAACTCCACTTTATGATATATCCATAACTAGTCCATTTTCATATTTGATAAAAGAAAACGACAGGCTGGTTTGATTCAACAAGACACATTTAGATTTGAAATGTTTTAAAATTACCCAGGACCAGCAGGCGTCTGAACGTTGCAGCTCTGAATTCCTTTAGCCCTGCTGTCATGGTGCAGAAATCACAAAGCCGCCCCTCAAGTCGCCATACTCGCTGTGAAAAACACACACACACACACGCACACACACACACACACACACACACACACACACACACACACACGCACACACACCCACACACACACACACACACACACACACGCACGCGATGGCAGGAAGGCTTTGATTTGAAAAGCTCAAGCTGTCCTTGGCAACAGCCTGCCGTACCAGCCTCCAACTGATTCTTGTCTTTTATTCTCCTTTGGTTTGCTTAGTGTTTTTTCAACATTCGCCGTGGTTCCTAACCTCCTCTCCTCTCATTTCTTTTGTCTCTTTGACTCAAACGTCCAAAGAAAAGTCCGACGCACTTGTTATTGCAGGTCACAGTTGAAGACTTCCAGTTTGTGTTATGGTTCATTACACAGATTTTTCTCACTTGAAGCCGTCGATGCAGTAACATCTGGAGAGGTGTCCGCGTCACTGTTAAAAATAATCAATAAATCGATCGGTTTTCGACCTCTATTTATATTCTAAATGAGGCAGAGACGTCAAAAGATGCTTTATGTTGTGGAAATGCAGCCCTGGTAGAAAACCTGAAGACATGTCCACTGGTGTCACAACACACTGCTGTCCCAGCAGATGCTGTTTGCTGAACTAATATTGACAGTGGAGGTTTTCCACACAGCAGGGTGTGTGTGTGTGTGTGTGTGTGTGTGCGCGTGCGTGCGTGCGTGCGTGTGTGTGTGTGCGTGTCGGTGAGGCAGCCTTGGAAAGGTGAACATCTATCATCCGCCCGTCTATCCTGGCCGCAAAAAATGAAGAGATTAATAAGTGAAGAACTAAAAAGCGTGCAAATGTTCAAACTGTAACTCAGAGTTTTTCCGTCACGCAGCAAATCGTGATGTTCGAAACCAGAACGTTGATGTTACGTTGACGAGTCAGAGCAGGTTATTTCCGTCTCTCACTCCCCTGTGTTATTTCTGACCAGATTCGACTCTCGCTGCCACCTCCTCACTCGCACTCGATATTCAATCTTCCTCCATCACATCTCACTCACTCTTCCTCCTCCTCCACCTCCTCCTCGGTAAATCCTTCCCTCACTTTGTCTGATCACAAGAGGTTTCGTGGCCAAATGTCCCAGATTTTCCTTTTTAGCTAAATTCAACCCCGATTTTCAGCAGCGAATCATCCAGGTATTAGACAGAGCCTCTCCTCGCTTCATTGACTACGAGTAAAATGTAGTTTAAATGTAGTTGCAAACCATGTGGCGTTTCTAACAGAAAGCGGTCGTAATAAAATGCACAACTGTACGCTGTACAGGAAGAACATTTTTCAGATTTCTTTTAAACTCTTTTCAATCCTGATTTATTTATTTTACCCAGATTTAGCTCAATGAAAAAAAAAGTAGCTAATTGGTTCCTATTAAATATTACAATTTTGCCAAGTTGACATATTTTATTACATCTTGGATAATATTGAAGGAGTGCTAGACATCTATTTGAAGGAACACCATGATATTCCATATATTAGAGCCATCCTCGTTTTAATTGGAGTGCAGAAATAAATCATTTCTGGCGGTGTGTGCGTGCAGTTCGGCTAATCCAGCACCCTCCCGCCTGGCTGTCTCAGAGCAGGAGGAGGCAGCTACAAACCGAGACAAACTCCACTCGCACGTGGAGAGAGGCTGTTTCCAGGTCATCTACTCCTCAGACGTCCCCTCGCCTGTCCATGAAGGACCTCACTGTTCCACTGGCCTTTCTATCACTGTGGATTTTTTTTTCTTCCTCTTTCTTCTCCATGCCATGTCCTTCAGTTGTTCCTTTACATGTAGATCAAGTGTGCCTCTCTGCCGAACGAGCTCGGGGGAAATGAATTCACTTGATCGGGTCCTATCTCGAATCCACTTTCCTCTCTCCCTCTCTCACGCGCACAGATTGGACCTCGCTCACACATGTGCACACGGACGCTTGGACCCTGCTGTCTTCAACGTTTGCTTTAATTATTGGCCTATTGTGTTAGCTGTAAGGAGAGAGAGAAAAAAATATATAAATTGGAGATAATGACATTTTTCGCCTGATTTGCAGAAACAACGCACGCAGTGAGTCAAAAGGTTTAAGCTGAGGAACATGTGCACTTCCTGCAATCTGGGAGCCAAAACTCAAACTTTAGAAGGGTCGCTCTTTTTCACATTGAAGATTTGAGTTGGATATTTTTTGTGTCCCTACAGAGGCACAGTCTGTTTTGTTTTTGTTTGTTTTTTTTTCCATTTGGCTTAAATCCCTGCCAGGCTAATAGCTGGCTGCCCTGCTGTACTGACTGGCTTTGCACATTATTATGCACATCCAGTCCCCCAGCCTCGCTCTGATACGTCAGCAAATATCGCTGTCGTTGTTATTCGGCTTTGGGCCTCTGCTTCTCTCTCGATGACTGCTGCCGTTGCCTGGCCTCCCTGCACAAAAACACGACAAGATCCAGGTCACCGACGCTCGACATGCGCGCCTCCTTGCATGTTCACGGGAAACACATTGTTTAGCTAAAAGGAGCCGAGTTAAAGCTGCTGATCAGGTAGATCAAACTCCATTTAGATAATATTTATCCCCTATACGACAGTATTTCACAATCACATTTTCCGTTTTGTTTTGCTTTTATTTTTTTTGCTCTAAATTCTTACATAATCAAGATAAAATCTAAAACAATAATCCACACTTGCCTATTGTGACGTCATACAAAGTATATGGTATGGTTATTTTGAAATGTATAATTTTCTTGTTTGTTCTTAAAGAACCAAAATTATATTATATTATATTATATTATATTACATTATATTATATTATATTATATTATAGGGGTGGGTATTTACTGTATCGTTTATCATGTATTGTGATAAATGTCTTTCTATGATGAGAACTCTGCTTTTATTATCACAATAAACAACACAAGTAATGACACTTAAACCCCTCTCCCCCAAAATTGTCCACATTGTCAGGATGGTTAGTTTTTACTATTTTCTCCACTGTTTGGTCAATAAATATTAATTAATTTGAAAACATGGTTAAATACAGTTAATGTGGGTGTTCTGGTGGCACCAATCAAACTGCATTTTATGATTGGTGTCCTAAAGAAGTCTGTTGCAAATTTTTTAAAGGGCAATATCTAAGTTTGCGGCGCTACGATTGCCGTGTCATGCTGTCACTGCCATACATTTAACAACAAGAGAAGTACTAAGCAGTTCTTATCGTCACTTTAACCATCATCACAATATTATCACAAAATACCGTGGTGAAACTTTTAAGTTTATATTATTTTGTACCGTATCGTATCGTATCGTATCGTATTATATTATATTATGTTATTTAACAATGCTTGTCCGTGCAGCTTTGTGATTGGCCGAGAGCGCCCAGGTCAGCAGAGTGAGGTGGCCACGCTCATCCAGCAGACCCTGGAGCAGGAGAGGAGGCAGAGAGAGCTCCTGGAGCAGCAGTACGCCCACTACGACGCGGATGACGATGAGGTAATTACACATATCCTTACTTCCCCCGATTGGTGCAATGTTAGCATCACACGCACACGGGACTGGGAATCCTAGTTTGGGTCCTGAAAGGCCATTTATTTTAAGTTCACACGCTCCCAACAATTCATGCAAGTGACAGTGTAATGAAAAATGAGGCTTCTGGTTGTCACTTAATGCTAATCAGCTTCTTTCTCGTGACAGCTGGCTTGAAGTATCAGCTTATTAGCTCTATAAAACTGACTGACAGTGTAGGCTTTTGATGCTAGCATTGAAAAACATGCTCTCTCACCGCCATGCAGACTAAGAGGATGCTCTGAGAGCTGCATCACTCAGCATTTCCCTCTGGTTCTGATGCGTAGTCACAGCACATTTTAATCCTCCAGACACTGAGCTCCTGGCGTCGCAACTCGTGTTATCTTTGGTTTTGAGCTAAATAGGCACAGTTGCACTTTGCATCTGCATGAAATAGATCACTGGAAGAAGCAAAGATCAGTGCAAATGTAAAATGCATGCTGTGGAAAGGCTGTCGTCTGGTCGTGTCTCTGTGTAGTGTTTTATACATGGAGTGTGAAATCTTTTATTCCCCGGTGATCGTTGCGTTTAAAATGGTTTTGCTTTAAGAATCTCCTTTTCAGGCTGTTGATGCTGAATCTAGCACTTCTGTAGTTATAGCAAGACATAAGTACGACACTGTCAAGTGTCATTAAAGCTTCTGCGGCTCTAATTTGGCTATTGGCAGAAGGCTCACCAAGCTGTGCAGAGTCAGATTTTTGCGCCTAGAATATCTGTCTTTGGATGTATTTCCCCCTCTCGATACTTTTGTGTGATACAAAATAAAACTACAAACAGTACATTATGTATTAATGATAGCTTTCGGCTAAGGAATAACTTAACCTCTTAACTATCATCCCCAAATAACATGTAAGTCGGTGGATTGAAGAGGAAACCGGTGACAATTAAGAGGTTTTGAAAAGATTAGAATAAATTGTACTTTTTAAGGTATACTTAAGTCACATTTATTTAAGCAAAAACAATGAAAGTCAGAACTAGTTGAAAAGCTCCTTCTTCACTTAAAGTATCAGTGTCCAGAGTTTAATTCCATCATTAGTATATGGGAATGTAACGTAGAACGATGGCCCTGTAGCCACAAACCAATCAGACCGAGCTCTGTTTTTATGGATAGAGGCGATAGGTGCAGGAAAAGAGACGAGGAGACAATGTAGGCCAAGATAATGAGACCAGAGACCATGAATCGTGCCTGTACAAGAGAAGAAAAATCAGAAGGAAAATTTAGCCAACTGTGCACTACAGAGTGTACTATGTCAGGATTTTTTAGGATTTAGAGTAACATCACTGGTAAGATTGGTCTCTTTTGGTCGTCAGCCAAAAACTGAATCGACCCCTCCATTTAGGTTTAATGCACAACAGTCAGTGCCAGTGTTCATTAAGCTACAGGGTATTTTGAGAGGGACACGAAGAAACACAGTAATGGCTCACATAAATGTCAAATCTGGAGACGCATTTTAGAGATTTGAAAATATAACCCCTCCAGACGCCACTCGTTTTGCCTTCTTAGTTTTTTTGCATTTGATGTAATATAAAAATCCGACATCCATATATGTTAAGAATAACATATGATCACTGCTGACTCGTGAAATGTTATTTCATGATTCTTTCACTTTATTTTTCAAGCTTCTTTTTTTGCACCAAAGCACACTGCTCAACCGTTATGTAACAGGCAGCAGTAGCATTGCAAGCGTAGCTTGTGTGAAAGTGAAACAGGGCTGAGTGTGGATTTAGGAAAAAGCCTTTACCATCAGTGCTTAATAAAAAAAATAAATAAATAAAAACACTGGGTACATCACTGTAATGTGATGTGCTGCCCTGTGGAGTTCAAAGAAAGAGGAAAAAAGGCTACAGCAGCTAGCTAGCTGTAGCCTTTTTTAGCTAGCCACATAGTTTGTAGCTATCTAGCTACAAACTATGTCTGCAGCAGATTGCAATTTGTAGATAATGGCAGGTTTAACCTGCAACCTGAATTCTTGCTTATTTATAGACAAGAACCGTCCATAGCAATGTTCCTTCTTTTAGCTATCAAGTCAAGTCACAATATGGGTTACATTGTTTAGCTTTAACTGTTACTATTCCAGTGGTTTGCTTAATGTGATAGAGTATTGTACCCATATCTTAGGTCAACATCGCTTTAGGTTTCCTTTGACAGTTCCTAATATATAAAAAAAAATAAAAATAAAAATAATAATAATAATAATAATAATTTCCATTTAGCTTTATATTAAATTTTCCCATCTTTATAACAAGGGTCATGCATAAATATAATGAATATAACTGTCAAAACTCAGCATCTTAAGTTGTACTTTTCACAAATGTCTTTCATGGGACGGAAATCAAAACAGACTCTTTGACCTCTTAAGGTTGCTACTGTTTTAGACTAAACTTGCAAACCAGGATGCTGTATGCTCTCCATCAAGTTTTTTTTTTTTTTTTTTTTTTTGCTTAAAGCTCAGTCAATTTTCTGTCAAAGGGCCAAAGAGAGAATTGGTATTTATCCTATTTTTGTTTGTTGTGTGTAAATAATATGACTGTTTTTTTTCTTTTCATTTCTCTTAAAGCAGACGGGGGAGTATGCCACCGATGATGAGGAAACGGGATCAACAGCGGGTGGCGAGAAGAGCATAGAGGTGTTTGATCTGCCGGAAACGGAAGACATCTTGTCTCCTTCGGAGTTGGATGCCACTAAGCTGTACCAGAAGTTCAGAGAGGTAAACTCGCTTTATACAGTTGAATAAACATCTCTGAAGGCAGTTTGAAGGAGTGATGGGAAACAGTTCATTTTAATTCTTGTTATTGCTTTGGGGAAGAAATGTTAAGCCAAAGTAAGTTGGTAATCGGTAGATTAAATTAAATCAAGCAACAAAAGTTAATAACACAATGTTATCCAACACCTCTTTTTTTTTTTTTTTTTTTTTTACTCGGCAGTGTTGCTGCTCTTGCCAAAAGAGGCGATCCGCTTACCTCCTCAAATTCCCAAGTGGTTCGTGAGTGATTATAGGTGCGAACACGGTGATCGCTACTAATGATCTCCCAGGAAAAGAACGACGTTGCTCCTCGGCAAGCTTCCTATCCGAGATCCAAAGACACTCTGGCCGACTCTTTGGCGCCACCTCTGAAATTTAAGCTCAACGGAGAAAAGTACGGCGATAAAACGGAACATTAATTTATTGTCAGGTAGCGCGGTCGCACTCTTTCGGCTGCTGAGTGAATGGTAATATTGATTGTTCACTGCACTGCTGTGGCACATTTTCCCCCTTTGTGAAGTTCCACGGTGGTTATATAACACGTTTAACAAATGGCTTCAGCTGCACAGCGGGCGCCGGCTGAGGAGACCGAGAGGAAATAAAATAAAAACGTGCTCTCAGGGTTTTTTCGCTTGTTCTTTTGCCTCCCTTTACTGTATATTTGCCCAACTCCTGCAGTGCATTGGTAATTACTTTAATCTTGTTTTTTTCTGCTGAGCTTTAAAATGCAACGTTTTTATTGCAGCCCCATACTTTACACCGAGATTTACAAATGCACCATCGTTACTCCCTATGCAACTCATCCATCCATTGTGTTAAACATTTATATTTTAACATCTTTTTACAGGGAAAAAAAGAAAATTTTTTTCCCTGTTCTTTCCTCTGGGAGGAAACGTCAAAGAGGGAGCTGGGAGGACAGGGTCGGCCGCCTCTGCCACTCAAACCGGATCGACAGCAGAGAGCCTGCGCAGCCATGCATTTGATTATCTGACCGCCATCTCTCTCCTCTCTGACGTTTCTCACTTTTGCCCTGCTTGGACTCTCTGCAGCTCCAGATCAAGCACACGGTGACAGAGGCCGAGATCCAGAAGCTCAAAACCAAGGTGAGAGACCAAAACGTCTGTGGGTTTTGTGGAGTAAGACGCTGAGGTTTGTCAAAGTTTTTTTTTTTTTTTTTTTTTTTTTTTTATATGGGGGAAAAACAAACAAAATAAATTTAACGGGGGGGGCTTTTTTTTTCCCCCT